GCTGTTCATGGGACGAGAAACCTTTTCTATGGCCGCGTAATCCAAAATTCCTGACTTGGGGAAATCGAGGACGAAATCCGTTGACATCTCTGCGGATTCGAATGGGGTTAGTGAATTTTATATCAAATTTAGCTGCATATTTTGGGGGCGATACTGTTGAGACGTGAGGGACAGGTTTTGTATATTTTTCACATTTCACTGTGTATAAAAATAACGGATGATTTGTTGTATTAAGCGACTGTATATGAATCACTCGCCTTAGTTTTAACGCTGTGCGAATAAAGATACGGACCTGTTTCGCAGTTGGTGCCAGTGTATCCAGGGCTGCAGGCACACGAGAAGCCGTTGACCCAGTCCGTGCAAGTGCCCCCGTTCTGGCACGGGGCAGAGGCACAGTCGTCTGTGTTTATGGCGCATGTGTCGCCTTCGAAACCCGATTCACACACGCACCTAGCCCGAAAGGTTTGTTTATCAAGCGAAAATAAAATATGGAATTTAAACTTTTGCTCTGAAAAGCGCACTTTTTTTTTATATCACATCAGTTTGGACTGGTAAGTAGATGGAGAGGGAAACTGATGTGAATTTCTATTTTACGGTACAGTTTAGGCCAAGGATTGCCATGCTGATATGGTATACATTTATGGCACAGTAATGAAATCCTGAGCACTCTTTAAAAGACACAAAGTTATGTAATTTCAAGTTGAATATACATTCTGGGTTCACTGTCTTATCGGAAAAAAAGTTAATGTGTCCTAAAAATCTCACTTAAATGCGTTGACCTGGTCGATGCAGAGGCCGTGCTCGCAGGGTGAGGACTCGCACTCGTTGATGGGCGTCTCGCAGAACCGCCCCGTCACGCCCGGGGGACACACGCACAACACGTCGTTCAGGCGGTCCTCGCACGTCGCCCCCTCTGCGCAAGGGCCGGTGGCGCACTCGTCGATGTCCATGTCGCACACCTCGCCTGAAACAGTTTCGAGTTGGTCCTGTACTTCGCCTGTGCTTTGCGAATGTGCAACGATGATTTAGAACAAGATTTGCAGTTAGGGCATTAATCTGGGCGAATGAGACAGACTTAAATGGCCCATAGTAGTGTTTTTTGTTGACTAAATGCTAACTACTTAATGCCAGCAACTTACCAGTGTAGCCACTCTGGCAGATACACTTGAAAGAATCGGTGAGGTCGGCGCAAGTGCCACCGTTCTGACAGGGGTCGGGCTCACACTCGTTGATGTCGACTTCGCACTGGGAGCCCGTGAAGCCCGGCGGACACTCGCAGTGGAAGCCGTCGAGCATGTCGAGGCAAGTCCCCCCGTTGAAGCAGGGGTCGCTTTCGCACTCGTCGATCTCGGTCTCGCACTGCTGGCCTGGAGGAGGCGGAAGGGAGTCGGGGGACGAGGAGAGGGGGAAAAGCATTAAGATACAGTTTTGAGGATTTTACGAAGATTCGGTTTGACTTGCAACCCCATTTCACTAGATTTCAGGATTAGATATCTTATTTATGGGCCGTCCTTTTAGCCAAACGTAATAACCAAAGAAATGGTGATTTACCTGAATAACCGGAAACACACTGGCACACGTATCCGAAGTCTAAGGCGCTGCAGGACCCGCCGTGGAGGCAAGGGGTGCTGAAGCAGTCGTTGATGGTCAGGGTGTCCAGGCTCGTGTGCGCCGCCTGGGCATGGAAGAGTTATTTCAGTTTGAATAGGCGTGATGCACACGCACTAGCACACGCACATGCACGGGCGCGCACACAAACACATACACATACACATACACATACACACGCACGCACACGCACTAGCACACGCAAACGCACATGCAAACGCATATGCAAACGCACACGCAAACGCACACGCAAACGCACACGCAAACGCACACGCAAACGCACACACACACACACACACACACACACACACACACACACACACACACACACACACACACACACACACACACACACACACATTCTTTGAACAATTATTCACATGACTGTATCGACTATTATCGGAGAAAAGACATGCTTGAAAAAAGTACCACTCATCTTTACGCTATCTTTCTTTCTTTTCCTTTCTTTCAGTAATGGAAACCATACCTGATCTCCCTCAGTGACGCCATGGCATTGGAAGAATGAGGTAGAGCCTTGGCCGTCAGTCTCCGCGCCGTGAGGGCACCTGGAGGCAGATATAAATGATTAGTTACCCTATTCTTTGAGGTCGTAATAGAATAATGACCATACTTGCTTATCCCATATCTATAATTATATGCTCGTGGCGTTTATACTATTAGAAATCGCTTCATTACCATAGGACTGAAACAATAACAACTGCATTTCGCTAACACGCACCTGAAGCACGCTGTCTGGCCGCTCTTCTCCTGGAAAAAGCCAACGGGACATTCGAAGCAAGGCTGCAGCCCCGTCTCTGACACTGAGCCAGGTTCACAGGCCGCTGAGGAACGAGATTTTGTTAATTAAAGATGTGACAACGAGAGCGATGATGTGGTGGTAAGCCCTTTGATATATTACGATATCTGAGAAAATTGTATTGCCATTAAACAAGCAGTGTTCTAGTAGTCTTTTCATAAAGGCCTCGTCGTACATACACTGCCTATTGTCTGGTACAAAATATGATCTAAACAGTCCTGAGACTTTTAATTCGCTGTAATTCAGATGTGTGATAATACACCACACTCTTAAGATTTGCTTGACTCACGCTGGCACTCTTCGATGACCCAGCAACCTCTCCTCCAAGTCGTGGTGTTGTGCGGACAAGAAGCACATGAGAAAGAAGCATATTCGTCCTGGTACTGGCCAAGGTCGCACGTCACGCACGGCTCCAGCCCGTCCTCGGAGAAGGACCCCGGCAGACACTGGGCTGTGCATCAACGTGGAGTCGGATAGCGTTGGACTTTTATCACGATTTTATGTATCATGTCATCATTCATTACTGTTTAATTTCCAGCGTTATTGTGGTATGATTATTATCATGAACGGAGTGCTATTTATCATTGGCTTTCATGAACGACAAATAGTTATAACAAATAACCTACGTTGGGACTCACCTTTACAGTCCTGGTCACTCTTGGCACTACTGACTTTCGTTGAGGTGTTGGAGGGACACACGATGCATGACACCTGGCCCTCCTGGGGCTGGAATGACCCTTTTGGGCACGACTGGCACTCCTTTAGCACCACGTTGAAGAAGGTGCCAACGGGACATTTCACTACGGGTTCAGGGATCAAGATTATGAAACGAAAAATAAGATGGTGTTTTTTGTTATGACGATGTAATATGCTTACTTTTTAGAATATATAGTAATGGTTCAAATAATATTATAGATATTATAGAATAGCTAAATATTTTAAAAGGTGAAGATGAATTGTGCGTTTATATTTGATTTCTCCCTAGTATAGACAAATATATATCTTCGTAATCTTCGTAATTTTGTACGCTTATACGCTCAATAATTAATTGACCATTCTATTCCAGCTAGCCAATTTCTTCATTCATTTACAAAGTCACTCACGTACACACTCACCGCACTTGTCCCCCTGCGAGATGCTCCCAGGTTCGCAAAGGTATTCTGGATTTTCCTTGAGCCTTATGGCCGCTACACGGAGCTGCCGTTGGCCAAAGTTCACGTCTAACTGGCCATCACCCGCGGCTTTAAGGAGGCCATCCATAGCCTCTCCTACCTGGTCCTTCGCTCCTGAACCGTGACCTGTGATTGAGAAAGATTCCAATCACGTATATGCATTTAAATACGTTTTTGGGAGAAATGATGAGTTTGCATTGATCGCAAACAGGTGTTATAAAGACAGGGAAAACAAAAATGTATATATACACTACCTTCTACAGTGAATCGTATCTTAAAAGTCCTCTTGCCCTCAGGGGGCGCGGGCGTTGTCGGGTCGAGATCACCCGGGAACATGATAGAAGGGGAACCGTAATCGACGCCGTAGTCATTCGACGAGATTTCATCGCCGGGAAACGAGGGGAAAGGGTCGCTGTCGTTGTCTCTTGCCGTGCGGTTCTTGGCTTGCGTTTCGTCAAGAGGATGAATCCCCGGGATCTTCATGCCACTCAGCTGCTTGCCGGCCAGTTCGCGGAGCCTGTTGGTCTTGTCCTCGCCGAACTCCTCTGAGAAAGCTTGGAGGAAGTCGTTGGTTGTGAAGTCCCCCTCATGAGGACTCAGTTTGGTGAGGAAGGAGTTGAACCGCACGGTGCTGACGTCGGACGCGAGGGATTTGGTGATGAGGTCGATGAGGACTCCGAGGTAGTTCTCGCCCCTGCTGTTCGCCGTCGCCGGGGCCTGAGTCGTCGTCTTCTCGCCGAGAAACTGTTGAATCGTCAGGCCGAACTGCCTCTTTCGGCGCTGGAAGTCGTCGAGCGCATCGAACTCCCGCAGAAGAGCGTCTCGCTTGACCCTCTCTCCCGCCGCGCCTGCCGCCCCCCTCTGCCAGTACAGCCAGCCTGCTTCGGAGTGTCGCAGGGGCCAGTATCGGTTCAGGACGTCTTCTTCCGCCGACCTTCTTCTCCTGAAGAAGCCAATGGAGTTGAATTCTTCCTCTGCGTCGGCGAGGATGCTTTCGCACACAGCCTCCACCGCTGCCACCTCGCACACTACGTCATCAGAGCACATGGCTGTAAGTGCGTCTTCCAGTTTCTTTTCTAGCTGATTTTCAACCTTAGAAATGAGGAGACAATATTTAATATAAACTTTTTTGCAATCAGAGTAAATTTGGAGAATATTTGGATCTTGTTTGCCTTACCTGCCTTCAGTCAGTGACAAAGGATGCAATTTACCTGCCCCATGAAGAAGATGTCATCGCAGATGGAGTCGTCCTCTTCTCCCATTGCCATCTCGCCGTACTGAGAGATGCTGTTTGACACGGACGTCACTGAAGTCAGAGAACAATAGGGATAATGACGATAATGATATAACAACAAGAACCAAAGAAATAATTACAATTATAAAGCTACTATTACTACTACTACTACTATTTCTACTATTATACTACTACTACTGCTAATATTTCTGCTACTACTACTACCACTTCTACTTCTACTACTATACTACTATACTACTACTAATGCTACTACTATACTATTAAACTATTACTAGTGCTACTACTATTTCTGCTACTACTACTACTATCACTACTACCACTACTACTACTGCTACTACTGCTACTACTGCTATTACTGCTACCACTACTGCTCCTGCGGCAAATGATAATAATAATAATAATTATTATTATTATTATTATTATAGTAATAATAATAGTAATTAAAACTAATGATAAAAAAATAATAACAATAATAATGATAACAACAATGTGAATGCTTATACTAATGATGATAACAACAACAACAACAATGATGATAACAACAACAACAACAATGATGATAATAATAATAGTAATAATGGAAATAGTGATAGCACCAATAATAATAACAATAATAATGACAATAACAAAAATGATAATAACGACAATAAAAATAATGATAATAATAACGTTGGTGATAACAAAAGTGATAATAACGATAATAACAATAATGATAATAATAAAAACAACATTAATAATGGCAAAAATGACAATAACATTAGCAATGACAACAGCAAAAAAAAAAAAAGAAAAAAAAAGAGAAAAAAAAAAAAATAAGAAGAAAAAAAAAAAAAAAAAAAAGAAAAAAAAAGAGAAAAAAAAAAAAAAAAAAAAAAAAAAAAAAAAAAAAAAAAAAGAAAAAAAAAGAGAAAAAAAAAAAAAAAAAAAAAAAAAAAAAAAAAAAAAAAAAGAAAAAAAAAGAGAAAAAAAAAAAAAAAAAAAAAAGAAAAAAAAAGAGAAAAAAAAAAAAAGAAAAAAAAAGAGAAAAAAAAAAAAAAAAAAAAAAAAAAAAAAAGAAAAAAAAAGAGAAAAAAAAAAAAAAAAAAAAAAAAAAAAAAAAAAAAAAAAAGAAAAAAAAAGAGAAAAAAAAAAAAAAAAAAAAAAAAAAAAAAAAAAAAAAAAAAAAAAAAAAAAAAAAAAAAAAAAAAAAAAAAAAAAAAGAAAAAAAAAGAGAAGAAAAAAATGATGAGGAAGGAGGGAAGAGGGAGGAACAGAGTAAGAGCAACAAAAAGAAGGAGAGCGAGTGAGAAAGAGGTAGGGAGACAGGCAGAGAAAGGAAAAGTCAAAGGGAAAGACCGGGAAAGAGAGAGAGAGAGTGTGTGTTTGCCTAGTATCAATACATTTTAATAATATCGCATAACTTTCAAATGCTCTTTATTAAAAGATTTCATTTTTTTCAGCATTTACGTCTGCAGTTGCTTACTTTGAACCGTGATGGTGATGTTGCAAGTTGCTACGTTGCCTGCCGCGTCTTCTGCCCAGTATTCTACTAAGGTATCTCCTTGAGGGAACTGCCCGGGTTCCTTGGATCGCGTTATCTGAAGCATGCGACTTTGGTTTGAGATTTTCGAAGAATATATGCGTTACTTTATTTGGATAAAGATAATGAAAATACAAGTAATGGGAATTGTTGATATGATAACAATAACGAAAATGCTGCTGCTGCTAGTGATGATAATGATGGTATCAACACGGAGGATTGTAACGATATTGATAGTGATAATGATAATAATCATATCTATAAAAATGACGATGATGATGATAGTAATCATCATCATCATAGTGATAATAATGATAATATTAGTATCGATAATGGCGATAATAATAACGCCATAACCTCTAACAATAATTATTCTCAAAAAATGATAATAGCGATCACGCAATTTCACACCAATAAGAAACACGACACAAATTCAAAAAGGAAAGCTAATTCAACATGACCAATCCTCACTTCCAAACGACCGTCACCCTCACGCAAGACGCATTTCATCTCACCTTCACTTCTCCTCCAGAATTATCCGAAAATATGGGTTCCTCCCAATACACGTCTACCACTTCCTCGTGGGATAGGAAGACAGGAGGGGATAGACACTCATCAATTCGTGGTGGTTCCTTGTCTGTGGGGTAAATGGGAGATGCTGAGGTGGTGATGATGATGGGGTGTTGGCGGGATGGTGGTGAGGACATATGTGGTGTTGGTGAGGATGGTGGTGAGTACATATGTGGTGTTGGTGGGGTGGTGCTGAGTACATATGTGGCGTTGGTGGGGTGGTGCTGAGTACATATGTGGCGTTGGTGGGGTGGTGCTGAGTACATATGTGGTGTTGGTGAGGATGGTGCTGAGTACATATGTGGTGTTGGTGAGGATGGTGCTGAGTACATATGTGGTGTTGGTGAGGATGGTGCTGAGTACATATGTGGTGTTGGTGAGGATGGTGCTGAGTACATATGTGGTGTTGGTGAGGATGGTGCTGAGTACATATGTGGTGTTGGTGAGGATGGTGCTGAGTACATATGTGGTGTTGGTGAGGATGGTGCTGAGTACATATGTGGTGTTGGTGAGGATGGTGCTGAGTACATATGTGGTGTTGGTGAGGATGGTGCTGAGTACATATGTGGCGTTGGTGGGGTGGTGCTGAGTACATATGTGGTGTTGGTGAGGATGGTGCTGAGTACATATGTGGTGTTGGTGAGGATGGTGCTGAGTACATATGTGGTGTTGGTGAGGATGGTGCTGAGTACATATGTGGTGTTGGTGGGGTGGTGCTGAGTACATATGTGGTGTTGGTGAGGATGGTGCTGAGTACATATGTGGTGTTGGTGAGGATGGTGCTGAGTACATATGTGGTGTTGGTGAGGATGGTGCTGAGTACATATGTGGTGTTGGTGAGGATGGTGCTGAGTACATATGTGGTGTTGGTGAGGATGGTGCTGAGTACATATGTGGTGTTGGTGGGGTGGTGCTGAGTACATATGTGGTGTTGGTGAGGATGGTGCTGAGTACATATGTGGTGTTGGTGAGGATGGTGCTGAGTACATATGTGGTGTTGGTGAGGATGGTGCTGAGTACATATGTGGTGTTGGTGAGGATGGTGCTGAGTACATATGTGGTGTTGGTGAGGATGGTGCTGAGTACATATGTGGTGTTGGTGAGGATGGTGCTGAGTACATATGTGGTGTTGGTGGGGTGGTGCTGAGTACATATGTGGTGTTGGTGAGGATGGTGCTGAGTACATATGTGGTGTTGGTGAGGATGGTGCTGAGTACATATGTGGCGTTGGTGGGGTGGTGCTGAGTACATATGTGGTGTTGGTGAGGATGGTGCTGAGTACATATGTGGTGTTGGTGAGGATGGTGCTGAGTACATATGTGGTGTTGGTGAGGATGGTGCTGAGTACATATGTGGCGTTGGTGGGGTGGTGCTGAGTACATATGTGGTGTTGGTGAGGATGGTGCTGAGTACATATGTGGTGTTGGTGAGGATGGTGCTGAGTACATATGTGGTGTTGGTGAGGATGGTGCTGAGTACATATGTGGTGTTGGTGAGGATGGTGCTGAGTACATATGTGGTGTTGGTGAGGATGGTGCTGAGTACATATGTGGTGTTGGTGAGGATGGTGCTGAGTACATATGTGGTGTTGGTGAGGATGGTGCTGAGTACATATGTGGTGTTGGTGAGGATGGTGCTGAGTACATATGTGGTGTTGGTGAGGATGGTGCTGAGTACATATGTGGTGTTGGTGAGGATGGTGGTGAGGACATATGTGGTGTTGGTGGGGTGGTGCTGAGTACATATGTGGTGTTGGTGGGGTGGTGCTGAGTACATATGTGGCGTTGGTGGGGTGGTGCTGAGTACATATGTGGCGTTGGTGGGGTGGTGCTGAGTACATATGTGGTGTTGGTGGAGGATGGTGCTGAGTACATATGTGGTGTTGGTGAGGATGGTGCTGAGTACATATGTGGTGTTGGTGAGGATGGTGCTGAGTACATATGTGGTGTTGGTGAGGATGGTGCTGAGTACATATGTGGTGTTGGTGGGGTGGTGCTGAGTACATATGTGGCGTTGGTGGGGTGGTGCTGAGTACATATGTGGTGTTGGTGGGATGGTGCTGAGTACATATGTGGTGTTGGTGAGGATGGTGGTGAGTACATATGTGGTGTTGGTGGGGTGGTGCTGAGTACATATGTGGTGTTGGTGGGTGGTGCTGAGTACATATGTGGTGTTGGTGGGGTGGTGCTGAGTACATATGTGGCGTTGGTGGGGTGGTGCTGAGTACATATGTGGCGTTGGTGGGGTGGTGCTGAGTACATATGTGGCGTTGGTGGGGTGGTGCTGAGTACATATGTGGTGTTGGTGAGGATGGTGCTGAGTACATATGTGGTGTTGGTGAGGATGGTGCTGAGTACATATGTGGCGTTGGTGGGGTGGTGCTGAGTACATATGTGGTGTTGGTGAGGATGGTGCTGAGTACATATGTGGTGTTGGTGAGGATGGTGCTGAGTACATATGTGGTGTTGGTGGGGTGGTGCTGAGTACATATGTGGTGTTGGTGAGGATGGTGCTGAGTACATATGTGGTGTTGGTGAGGATGGTGCTGAGTACATATGTGGCGTTGGTGGGGTGGTGCTGAGTACATATGTGGTGTTGGTGGGGTGGTGCTGAGTACATATGTGGTGTTGGTGAGGATGGTGCTGAGTACATATGTGGTGTTGGTGAGGATGGTGCTGAGTACATATGTGGTGTTGGTGAGGATGGTGCTGAGTACATATGTGGTGTTGGTGAGGATGGTGCTGAGTACATATGTGGTGTTGGTGAGGATGGTGCTGAGTACATATGTGGTGTTGGTGAGGATGGTGCTGAGTACATATGTGGTGTTGGTGAGGATGGTGCTGAGTACATATGTGGTGTTGGTGAGGATGGTGCTGAGTACATATGTGGCGTTGGTGGGGTGGTGCTGAGTACATATGTGGCGTTGGTGGGGTGGTGCTGAGTACATATGTGGTGTTGGTGAGGATGGTGCTGAGTACATATGTGGCGTTGGTGGGGTGGTGCTGAGTACATATGTGGTGTTGGTGAGGATGGTGCTGAGTACATATGTGGCGTTGGTGGGGTGGTGCTGAGTACATATGTGGTGTTGGTGAGGATGGTGCTAGTAATAATAAAAAAAATAATGATAAGGATAATAATGATAATGAAAATGATAACAAAAAAGATGACAATGATAAACTTACCAACAACGGTGATAGAAAATTCGCACGACGCTTTGTTCCCAAGTTTGTCCATGGCGACGTAAGTAATAGTGTGGTTCCCTAGTTTCATTTTCATGGGCTGACTGGTGGCCGGGACTGTGTGTACTTTGACCTTGCCCTTGGAGTTATCTGAAGGTGAAGTTAGCCATTTTTTTGTATTCTTATCTTCATGACTTGTTATTCTTATTACTCATTATTTATTTATTTATTTATTTATTTATTTATTGCGTTTTTTCATCACATCGCGTTCCTCAGAAATGAGATCGAATAATTTCAGAATTTATATAATAAAATGAAACAACATAATTCCTCAAGTCATTAGTCAACATGAATGAAAATACACAAAGATTTCGTACCTTTTACATGAGGTGGATTCCAGGTGACGTTCGCATAGACTTCGTGAGGTTCGGTCGATGTTGTTATGTTCTCTGGACACTGAATCACTGGTGGAGTTACGTCTGACCGAGGAAAATCACGAAATTAATTGTATGTGGATTGTATGCATGTGTGTGTGTGTTTATTGGTAATTATACCATAAATGTATGTATATGCATGTACATATGTTTATACATATTGTTTGTTTGTAGTTTTAAGATATTTATGTCTGAAGAAAGTGTTAAATCTGATTTGATTTTTTTTTTTTTTTCAATAATGATCATACTCGTCCTGGAATTTTATAATTCTTCAGGAACCAACTGATCGAACGCAACAGCCTGACACCTGAAAACCTCAGATTTCGAACGAGCGCATAACACCTACCTACACACCGAGGAGACTTACTACGTCCTGGAATTTTATAATTCTTCAGGAACCAACTGATCGAACGCAACAGCCTGACACCTGAAAACCTCAAATTTCGAACGAGCGCATAACACCTACCTACACACCGAGGAGACTTATGGCCCTCCGACCACACTCCAGGGTCGATGCAAGTGGTCTTAATCGGTCCACTTATCTGGTACCCGGACTCGCAGGCGAACTCGCACCTCGATCCGTACTTGGACTTGGAGGAGGAGCAGGAACCGGGTCGGATCCTGCCGTTGAGGAGAGGAGGAAGGCGCGGGCAGAAGATGGCTGGAACGTGAGTCTTGCGTTGGTGGTCGATTGATTTGATTTGTGAATGCGTGTTAATGAAGTCATGTGTGAAAAGTTTAGACATGATTCGTTTTATCTGATTGATTTACGAAATACTTCCCAACTACTTTCTTGAGTAGACATATCTAAGATAGTTTAATCATCCCAACATCAGAACACAGAGTTCATGCATCTAGAAATACAGATAAAAACATTACTTGTAATATAATATCTACACCATATAGGAACATGCAGTAAACTCAGGATCCCTTTACGTTTGCAATAGGCTGGTATCCCGTCCCACATGGCCACCGGCAGGCAGGTCCTCATCTTAGACCCCACGAGCTGGTATCCCGGATCGCAGGTGAAGTGGCACTCGGTGTCCATGATGGGCGTGGGCTGCGTGCACACCATCGTCCCGTGGGCCATGGGCTTGAGATTTGGGCAGGATTTCACTGTAGAGGGAGAGGGGGGGATTTAGATATGGGAACCTCAATGCTGAACGTTGTCAGTGAATTATGTTAGGGATAATCTGATCGCTGAGTTGGACAGAAATGAAAATTTAAACTGCCACCATGTAGAGATTCCTGGTTACAAATAAAAGATAGAATCACAGACACTCTCTCCCGTTATAATATATGATCCATGACACTTCCTATATATATATATCTGCTGACGTGATGTTTCCGAAGTTGACCATGAGTTACTGACTGACACATCGGGCGTTCCACCCCGTCCATTCGCCATTCTCGCCGCACATCCTGATGGAGGAGCCCTTGAGGGTGTAGCCAGGGTTGCAACGCACGCCGCACGCCGCGTTGACCACGTTGTTGCAAGTGTTGCGCACGAAGTAGCCGTTTTCCGGAGGCGCGAGCACTGGGCACTGCAACACTGGCAGGAGAGATTGGCCCATGAACAGCAATTGGTACATTATTATCATTTAAAAAATTAAATGGATATTATCAGGGAAATATTAAATTAAAAGTATGAATGAGGCAAGTAAACAGTATATCTCAAGCATTAACAAAAGCATATCCTTGATATTTTTTATAATCAACGATTGTGTCTGTATGTGGACACACACACCTGTATGTATGTATGCATGAATGAATAGATAAATAAACAAATAAATAACCGAACACACACTCACACATATACATATATACACATACACATATATATATACATACACGCACACACACACACACACATACATACATATATACATATCCATATACGTATATACATATATAAATGCACATCTTAAGACACCCATTTACTTACTGAGGCACTCCTGGCCCACTTGCTTGAAGCCCCTCTTACAGTAGCACTGCTGGGGCGAAGTGGAGGCCGCGTCGCTCACCATGTGCGGGTCTGGACACGGTGAGCACGAGGACATGTCGCCGGGCCCTTGGTGCGTCCGGTAGGTTCCAGGGGGACACGCTGGGAAAGTTGTTGTTTTTTATCTTCATTATTTAGTAAAGATACATGAGGAAGCTTCAAATACTTTATAATGTAACGAGCTAGATAAAAAAAAGCTAAAATTGAACGCAGGACTTGAAATGGAATAAGAAGACAATCAAGAATAAATCAGATAAATAAACATGAACAGAAATTATATACAAAAAAAGAAAGAAAGAAAGAAAGAAAACGAATTCAAAGAAATTAACAAAAGTGAAAAAAACAAGACGATAAAAAACAAAACCTGAGATAGATAAAACAATAATAAAAAACAAATCCTTACGTCTACAGTCGCCCAGAATCCCCGTGCCATAGTATCCCTTGCGACACGTGCAGGCGTAGTGCCCCGTGTGTGTGTCGCACGTGCAAGCTGCATCGGCGTCACAGCAGTAGGTTCCTTCCTCGCACAGTTTCCCACACGTCCGGGGAGGCTGGTGGATGAGGAAGCCGCTGTGTAGGTCTGAAGGAGGCGCAGGAGAAGGGGAAGGATTTGAGAAAAGGTGTTGGGGAAGGTTTTATTATCATTTTTTATTTGTTTTCCTGTTATTATCATAATTTTTTATTTGTTTTCCTATTATTACCATATTCTTTTTATTTGTTTTCTTATTATTATCTTATTTTTTATTTGTTTTCCTATTATTATCATAATTTTTTATTTGTTTTCTTATTATTATCTTATTTTTTATTTGTTTTCCTATTATTATCATATTTTTTTAATTTGTTTTCCTATTATCATAATGTTTTATTTGTTTTCCTATTATTATTATATTTTTTCATTTGTTTTCCTATTATTATTATTATGTTTTATTTGTTTTCCTATCTATTTATTTATGTATTTAGTTATCTGTTTATTAATTTATTTATGTATTTAGTTATCTGTTTATTCATTTATTTATGTAATACTGTTATTCTGTTTTTCTTTTTCCTTTTTAGGGGAGTTAGTTGCCACCACCATCACCATCACCGTCACCACCATCACCACCACTAGCGTCACCCCCGTCACCACCCCCGTCACCACCATCACCACCACCACCACCAGCATCTTACCTTCGTGGAGAGCCCTCCTCGCCAGGGCTTCGAACTCCTCAAAGGTGTCGAGAATGTAAGAGTGTTCCTCCTTCGGCACAGATGCCATGTCATACAGTTCCTGGCAGGAGTATTATCATCATTATCATCATGATCTTTTAACAATGATAATAATAATAATGATACTGATAAAAATCATGGCAATTATAATTATTATCACCACTATTATTATCATTTTCATTATTAATATCATTATTATTACTATCGTTCTTATTATCATTATCGTTATTATCATTATTATTACTATCGTTCTTATTATCATTATCGTTATTATCATTATTATTATTATTGTTGTTGTTATTGTTGTTGTTGTTGTTGTTATCATTATTATCACCATCATTATCATTATTACTGTTATTGTCATCATCGTTATTATCATCTTTATTATTATCATTATCATTATCATCATTTTCCTAATCATCATTACATTATCATTATTATTATCATTATTATTATCCCTATCATTATTCTTGCTGTTGTTATTATTATTATGATCATTATTATCATTATTATTATTGTTATTATTATTATTATTATTATCATTATTATTATCATTATCAATATGATTATCATTATCATTATAACAGTTATCATTATTGTTATTATAATGATTATTAATATGATGATGATGATTATTATTATTATCATTATTTTTATTATTATTATTGTTATTATTATTATTATTATTATTATTATCACGACTATCTTTATTATCCTTATCGGTATCATTATCATCATCATTATTATCATCAATATTATTATTACTGTTATCATCGTCCTTATGATTACCATTTCTATAGTTATTATCCCTAATCAACATCATCAATACTATTACTGTTTTTCTTATTACTAATAACTGGTATCATCACAATGACCAAATTAATAAGTCATAAGAATTATCAACACATGACACTAAGAACACGAAGAACAGCCGTGTACCTTAACATTGCCATTCCTGATGCCGAAGGTGAAGATCGTGACGCCCCTTGCCTGCAGGAAAGCGGCTGCGGGTCTTGGGTCACCCCCGTTACTGTAGCCGTCCGTCACCAGGAACACGGCTTTCCTGGCGTCGTTGCGGGCGAGGGCGAGGACGCTCTGTAGCAGGGAGGTGGGGAAGGGATGGGAGGGAAGGTGGAACAGGGGATAGAGATAAGGAAAGAGAGGGAAAGGGATGGGACGAAGGAGGAGGGAGGGAGAGAAGGGGAGAAGGTGGGGAAAGGGGGAGGGAGAGAAAGAAG